ACAGCACACAGCAGCGGGCAGCAGGTGAGGCGACCAGCACATAAAAAGCATTCCTACCCACAGCTTTACAGTAGGAACCGAACTCTGCCTTCTCACTGGCAGGGCAAAAGCCTTGCTTTCCCCTCCCCAGCGGTATGTTAATACACAATACTTCAATCAACACAGGACATGATCAAATGTGTTGCTTCGCTGTAGGGCTACCGTATGACCCATCGTTAGACCCACCGGTTCCGTTCAGGTGGTACCACGGCCGGTGGGGACCACAGCCGATGGGGTAAACTAAACTACGGTTGTGCCGGATGGGGGGGGAACTGTGTCTAATACCCCACCATGGACCTTGTACCTCTGTACAAGGTTCCGATGGCCACACAAGAACCGCAGTAGAAGTGACATGATGATGCACGCACAACACACAGCACACAGCTGCACTACACCACTGCAGCACAGCAACCGNGACCTAGTCTAGTACAGGATCCCCGCCGCCTTGCCCGCAAAAAAATCGGAAAAATAGTGTGGAAACCTGCAGACCTGCGGACCTGCGGTCGCTGTGGTCTTTCTGTGGGACCAATACGCCAGCGTATCAGCACCGAATCCGGGCCCATTCAATACGCCAGCGTATCTACAGCGCATAGTACCGGCAAGATCCATGTCGAGCTCTCAGCTTCAAGCGTTGGCAAAGGTCCGGGGGATGCTAGACTTTGTCCTCCACCCGTCTTCGCCTGACACGAGCGGTATACCCGTCGGAGATGAGAAGCTGCGGAAGGTGATGGAGTGGGTCTCCAAGTGGGAAGATCCCATTGACGGCGAACTGCTGCCAGGTGCGTCCCAGGTGTGTGCGTAAGGTCGGGTCCACAATCATTGACGCTCCATGCTCTATTATCAACAAAACAGACTGCTCAAAATATTTTTCTTTTTTCCGAACGGAGTGTACGAAACATGTTCGAAACATGTTCCGACATGTTCCGTCACGATGTTGTTGTATGGGCGGTGGGGTAGCAGCCTCGTAATGGAAGGATTAATGTGTGACCTGCCCGTAGCAGCATAGTCAATCCCATGTACTATACAGAGAGAGCTTTTGTCACTCTGTTGTGCCATTCGTGTTCCGTACGTGGTCACTTCCATGTATACTGTACGTTCTCCGTTTCATAGAAATCCCGTTTCACCATCAGTTTCATAGCCGTCATGTTTCTCAGCGTTGCCGATCCGTGAAATTTATGTTTATCGCCGTAAATGCATCCTCCTTGATTCCCGTCCAGACCGCAGAGGAGCTTGTGGCCAAGGGCCTGTTTAAGGACAAGTTCACCGCGGCTCTCCTCAACGGGATTGAACCCGAAGATGGTGGGGGCGTGGGCACTCCGTTCGAGAGCGACGGCAACGGCGACTGCTTGTTGAATTCTGTGGCGGCATTCTTTGCCAAAGACGGAGGTCGAGGGGTCAGAAGTGCTGTGAAGACAATGGCGGTGAAGCTTCGACTCAGCGTCGTGCTGTACGGGCTGAAATACATGGAGCTATTCCTACTGGAGCAGGACGAACATTTCGGGGCATGGTACAACTACACGTCGGATGTGTGGGAAAGGCTGGCGAAGAACGGGTGGGATGGGGCACCCGACCCCGACAAAACTGGCACGTCGGGTCGTCAAAATGCGCGCGGCTGATGTTCCTTGCGCAGTTACGGAGCATAGCAAAGCCTGGGGTATGGCTCCAACAGTTTGTCTTTGCGATACTCGCCACATTCGTTCAATCTCCCCTGCGAGTGTTTCTGCCATGTGAATGTGTCTGGTGGAGGACTACGGTAGATGCATCCTAGTTAGAATTACCGGTTTGATATCGCAGCAAGTCCATCCGACACATCAGCTCATCGCCTCGCCGCAACACGCAGCAACACGCAGTGTAATTGTCCCGGTAGTAGGATCGTTGTTAGTTCTTTGGGTGCCTGCCGATGACCCGCCCAGTTTTCATGTACGAATTGGATGGGCGACGCAATACCCGAAAGGAAAACGAAAGGAAAACGGAAAACGGGAAAACGGGTGGGTGACACGCTAACGACACTTCCGTCATGTCGTGTTTGGGATTCATTTTGTGGCCGCCTCCTCTCGCGCTCGGACTGTTGCAGTCAACTCCCTGAACGATGCTCAGGGAGGGCCGTGGAAGCACACGCTGTTTCTGCCGTTGTGGGAAACGGCGCGCAGGCCTACGCTCCACGTGGCCATGACCATGTGTTACAGCTCCAGCTACAACCCGCCCTTCGAGAATGCGAATGGATACCTAGAGTACGTGAGAAACAACCTTCCCGAGTTCAACCACTTCGTGACTTTGTCGGATAACAGCGCCCTCGTCGCGAAGGACCGCGCTATAACGAAATTCAGGATGTTGAGGCGTAAGGCGAAGGAGGCGGCCACGGCTTCAGAGGGGAAGCTAGCAGACGCTATGCTTGGTCCAGGGCGGAAAGAAATGACGGCGGACGAGGAGGAGGATGTCATGCACAGGCTGACGGGCGCCCATACAAGGGTAAGGGTTCGGAGCTTTCAACTGAAGAAGGGTTAGTGATGAAGTTGTCGTTTCTTGGAGGACATGCATATTTGCCAAACTACCTGAGCTGTTTGGCCCCGTACATGATGATATTCTGTACTATTCGAAACGAAAACGACCGATGTGCCGAGACGTATCGTGGTTGACGTCGGACCGGTTTGCTTGGCCTGCGTTGATTTCGAACCGACAGGCAGAATCCCACCTCGAGAGACGCGAATCTGACTTGAAACGCATCATGGGCCATCATGTGGTAAGTGGAGACATGAATTCCGGGTGATGTGGGTGTCCCAAGCGCTAGTGGCGTCACGAACACGAAACGGTCGTAGAGGTAGTCCACCTGACGCTCGAAGTAATCATAACGGCCCAGTATGAGGGTGTAAGTCCGTATTTGTTTGGGTTGTTGCCATTGACATCGAGAATACACTGTTTGCTGGTCGGGCAGGTGGGGGACTCCTCGTTGGCGTCGCGTAGTTCCATATTCTCAATGAAATAAGTTCATCACAACCCTCGTCATGTTGCCCAAGCGTTCTCAGCGAACCCCATACGGTGTGCTGGTGCGGTGGACAGAGGACGTCTGAATATTCCGTGACTTCTTTGCCCTCGCCTCACGCCATCGCCATCCGATGTATGTGCGTATGATGGCAGAGACCGTTTGAGCGCGCGGAGCATGCAGCAGAAGGAAACGAAGAGGCGTTCGATATCCGCGTGGTGAGCACGTCGAAGTGCGATACGGTGGATACAATCTCAAGCTCAAAATTCGCCAATTCGCTATATTGTCGGCGCCGTTGATGTGAGCAGAAACAAGACGAAGTGGGCGTTCTACTGGCGGCCCACTGTCCTCACGCTAGGCATGGTTGTCACTCAGCGAGAGCACGGAAGGTTTATTCGGAGTGGCGAAGCGCTCGGGTGTCGAGAAGAAGCTTTCGCTGTGCGCTCTTTGGGATCGCCTGCAACACCTGAGCAAGATGATTGCCATCGAGACAGCGAGGTGCGAGGTGACTTTGTATGTTACCGATCCCAAGAGGCTTCGCGTGCGAGGGGGTCCCTAGTGGGTAAATTAACTAGACGCTCAAGGATAATGATGGTAGTTGACGTTATACATGAACCTCTCCCGTCGCCACATATCATACACCTTATTTCATGCAGCACTCCGATGCAATGCATGCAGGTTAGCGACCCCCCCAATCACCCCTGGGGTGGCGTTCCGGGACAAGCACGTCGAGGAATTCTTCCAGCCCGTGAAGCAAGAGCTTTTGGCCTGTGGTGCCAGCCAGTACTGCCAGAAAGTAAGGCGTGTTGGGGCATGTATTTGTACATAAGACGCTGAATCGTTGCTCTTGATTTCGGACAATTGTGTGCCCGTGACTTCTCGAGCTTGACCACAAACAGATATGACACGCCGCTAATATTTTAGTCTACCACACCCGCAGTAGTCTGTCCCAGACGTTGGTGCAGCACCCTCAATGATAGCAACGAACCCTTGGATTGATCCGGCGGGTGCCTCCACAACAACCCGATATTGTTCCATCTTCATCCCCAAGTTAGTCGTGAGGCTGAGTTGGATTCAGCTTTGCTGTCCATGCAGGGAGTGTGTAGGTGGTGAGTGAGGTTGATCTTTTGGTGCGTAGCATATATGTGAATATGCGATTCGAGCGTCTATTCCCCAGTGCTTACTTGCACCTGTACTCCCTTTCCCCCTCGGCCTGCTCCCCGGCCGGGGCCTAAATCGATCTAGTGAGTCCCTCGCGGGCGAACCAGGACACAACAGATAGTAGGCGGGTGGTGTCCCAAGGTGCAACTCACCGCCGCGCTGGCTCAGCGTGGCCATGAGGATGCACAGAGGGTGGTAGTGGCGAGAGGTGCGTATGGACACTGTTCCCGCGGCAGTAATGCAAAGCGGCAAGCTCCACCTGGCAACCATCATCGCGAAAAGCGTGGCCCACGAAGCTGGAGGAGTAGAGAGATTCGTAAACACCACGTCAGTAAGCACCGCTCGCGGGAGAAGGGAGNATGAGGATGCACAGAGGGTGGTAGTGGCGAGAGGTGCGTATGGACACTGTTCCCGCGGCAGTAATGCAAAGCGGCAAACTGCACCTGGCAACCACCGTCGCGGAAAGCGTGGCCCACGAAGCTGGAGGAGTAGAGAGATTCGTAAACACCACGTCAGTAAGCACCGCTCGCGGGAGAAGGGAGACAACCGCGGGCACCGCGGGGAGGGAGTGCTGCACCCTCCTCGTCAAAACACCACAGGCAAGAACCGAGCTCTGCAGTGATGGATTGATGCGAGGAAATTCGCCACTCGGAAAATACGGAAGGAAGCACACCCCCAACGCGGGGCGGACCGAGAGAGACACGAGACCGCAGCGGCCGTCAAGGCGGCTGCGAAGAAGAAGGCACGAGAAGGCGACCTATCGTTCGGCACGTTCAACGTACGCACGCTCGCCTACAGCGGTAGGAACCCCATCGGTCACAACGTGATGACGGTCATGCAGATTTGTTCCGCGACCGGCTGTGATGTGATAGGACTTCAGGAGACCCGACGAGCGGGGCAAGGTTCAATTGCACACGACGGGTACGTGATCATTTGGAGTGGCGCCCGTGCTGGCACCAAGGACAAGAGGGGCGTACACGGTGTGGGCATAGCGATCAAGGAGGCCATGTGGGAGCGTGTGGGCCAGGAAGGTAGGACGGTGGAGTGCATTAGCCCGAGGCTGATGAAGCTGCGTCTACAAATTGGCCGCACCTGCGGAGTAACTTTCGTGGTGGGGTACGCCCCCACGGAAACTGTCCGCACCACCGCGGGCGGNCCGTGCTGGCACCAAGGACAAGAGGGGCGTACACGGTGTGGGCATAGCGATCAAGGAGGCCATGTGGGAGAGTGTGGGCGAGGAAGGTAGGACGGTGGAGTGCATTAGCCCGAGGCTGATGAAGCTGCGTCTACAATAGGCCGCACCTGCGGAGTAACTTTCGTGGTGGGGTACGCCCCCAGGAAAACTATCCGCACCACCGCGGGCGGTGATGTTAACTCCAAGGACTCCTTCTGGACTGCTCTCGACGCA